TTTTTTCTCCCTTGGCCACTTCCCACTTGGCAACAGGGATGAAGTTCTGCCTTTGCAAAACATTTGGAAACCTGTTTCTGTTCCAATTCAGAATCACCCACCCCAAAGCTTTCCAGGTTATCTGTAAAATAAAACCTAGAGAAATTGATGGCTTGAAATACTTCAAACTGATAAACTCAAAATATATTATTTTAACTGTAATTTTGGTTTGTGTTATAAGGCAGAGTGAAAATGTTAAAGCCCATAGAAAATGGTTATAAAGCAGAAAATGTTAAAAAGCACAGAACAAATAGCCTTTGGAAAATGGGAAATGTTGTTTTGAAATTGAAGAAATAGAATGTTTTTGCCCTGGCGACCACCTTCCCTTTCCTCCAAAGCTTGACAGAGTTTCACAAAACATTTCAAGTTTGATGTGCTGTGTTTTGGGGGAACTGAGCTGTGTGTGCTGGGGAGGGTAAGGAGAAACTCCAGGAGCAAAGAAAACAGCTGGAATCCAGACAAGGTGCCACAGTGGGATCAGTCCCTCCAGCTGGGCTCCAGGGCTGGTTTAGGTTTGGTTTTGGGTCCCCTGAGCCCCATTTTGGCTGCTCAGGAGTGTCCAGAGGAGGCAGGGGCGTGCAGGGGAAGGCAGAGCTGCTCCAGGATGAGGAGCAGGCAGCCCATGCTGCTCCACTCCCGTAAAAACCCACCCCAAAGCCTTCCCCGGTTATAAATAAAGCAGCCCCTGACCTGGGAGATTAATCAGTGGGCTGGTGTCTCTGCGTGATGTCACGGCGTGTTTTTCCACAGGCCTGTGGAGTGTCAGCCCGTCTGAGGTGCCGATGGCAGCGGGGCTGGGCAGATTGATGGCCGCGCTCTCCCGCACGCACATGCACAGAGGCCTCTGCAGGATGATGGAAACCGGGGCTGCTCGGCGCACCGTGGGTATTTTTAGGTGTTATTGAGCCATTGCTGGCCCTTGGTGACTGCCATGGCCAGCACAGCTGGATTTGGGGTGATCCATCCGAGCCTGGGTGCTCGGGCACAGGGAGCTGCTCCAGCCTGTCGGTCTGGTGGGCAAGGAGGGGAGGGATGGGGTCAGGTCCAAGCTGATCCCACAGTGTGGGATGGATCTCGTGATGGGAAACCAGTTCTCCCCAGTGCACCACACCTGGCAAAGGCCTCGGGAAGGCACAAAAGGTCCTGGTTGGAAACCCAGGTCTGACATCAGGGTTTTAATTTCACTACTTGACCTTTACTCCTGCTTGCATTTGAACCTACAGCCTGATCCCATTCCCATGTCTGCCAGGCAGGAGCTGCTCCGCTCCAACCAGTGGGCACACGTGGGAAGGGGTTGCACGCACCACATGGCTGCAAGGCCAGGCACTGCATGTCCACACAGCAATTCATCAATGAATCTGAGAAGGAACTGGGCAATTAACACTGGGAGCAGGGGATAGACTAACTGAGCACATGCTGTCACTCTGCTAACAGGGCTGCCTGTGCCTGTTTGTTTGGCTCCTGTTTCTATGGAGGTGGGGGCCATGTCGAAGGGTCAGCTCATTGCTCTGGTTATTTGTATCTGCCCAAAATGCTTTCTTACCATCTCAGAGCCCGAGGAGATAGCCAGGGGCTAACTGGGGACTGCTCAGCCTTTGGGAGCTGTGTTCTTTTGGGGGATAAAAGAACACAGCCTTCCTACCACAGCCCCGTGCTGGAGTCACCAGGACTCAACACTCACCTTTGCTGGACCAGGGGCAGCTCGCAGAGGGCCCTGAGCTCCCATGGCCCCCATGTCCTAGAGCTGTGCCTCAGCAAGGAGCCCCTTACCCACCCCAGAAAGGAGCCCCTACCCTGTCTCCTGACCGCTGGAAATGCTCCCGACCATCCTCCTTGGCACAACCTGGGGAACGTGGGGGTCCAGGGCCCGCTCTGCCAGCTGCAGACACCCCAGCATGGAGCAGGACTGCCTGTCTCAAGCCCACCTCTCTCCCGGGGCTCCACTGGTGCCACTGTACTGGGCAGTGACAATGTCCAGCACTGTGTCCCCTGTGTGCTGTGGCTGCAGAGGAAATGAGCTCGACAGAGGCTGCAGTCCCAGCACACACAGCCCCTCACCAGCCCCTTCTCTACGAGTCCAGGAGCTTGGTCCAGCTGCATTATCAACCCTAAAATAAGTTCCCAATAAATATGTCAATAAGAGGTCTCTGTTCACTCAGAAAAAGGGCTTCCCATGAGGTGAGCCAGCCTGGCACTCAGGGTTATCCCAGGACAGTGATTTTTCCCCTGGCTGTGATTATGCAAGGCTCAGAGTTATTCCTGGGGCTGCCACGTGAGAGGTGAGCTCCTGGCAGGGAGGCACAGCAGCAATCCCAGCGCCACCTCCACTGGCAGCCGGCACCTGTGCCTGCACAATGACAGCAGGAGCCCGGCCCAGGAGAGACAGCTGAGGAGGCAGGGGCGGGCGAGATCCCTGCCCTCATCTCCAGCAAAGATGGGGCGACTTCTGCAAGGGAAGGGGCAGACCTGGTACCCACCCGTGGCTTGCAAACCCTGTCTGATGGTGCCTTGAGCGCACTGCAGGCTGGATGCCACCCATGGAGCAGCTCTTTGGAGCAGGGAATGCTGCAGACCACTCTTGCCCATGCATTTACTTACCCTGTTCTCCTCCTGAGGCATAACACTGACCATGGACTGTTCCTGTGTCCCTCGCCACAGCTCTGTGTGTGACACTGACCCTGCAGCAGCTGCCCCAGCGCTCTGGCATGACCAGACACCACCTTCAGCACCCAGAGTAAGTCTGCGGAATGACCGACCTGCTAAGAAAATAGAGAGCCCGTTCCTTTGAAGTTAATGAATTGTGAAAGCCTTTGAAAGCAGAGCCTTGTTTATTTACTCACCACAGCTCATGTGGATGAAGCACCCAGTCACCCTGAGCGCTGCTAATTTGAATGGAAGATCAAACTTGAGGCTCTGCCCCGCTGGAGGAGTGAGAGCTGCCCTGGCCTCTTCACTGCCCAGTGCAGGGAGAGCCTCCTACAAACCCAGGGCAGTCCATGGGCTGTCAGGTGGGTTTATGGAGAAAAGCACCAAATAAGCCACAAGGCTGACAGAGAAATTCAGAATCCTGGGTGCAAAGATCTGGCACCCAGTCTGAGCATTTCACTTCAACACCGAAATTCAGCTGTGATCCCTCCTCCCCTCCCAGGGCTGGCACTGCTGCCTCTTGCTCTCATTCTGAGTTTCAGCCCCAGCCAGAGGTCCCTTGCCCAGCACCACATCACAGCCACGACCTGCACACTCACAGGAACATCGTGCTTGTCACCTCCTCCCTTTCCCTTCCCACGAGAGCAGGATACTCAGGCTCCCGTCTTTGTGTGGAAACAACCCAGGAACAGAGAAAAGCCCACAGAACGGCCACAGCAGAGCATCCAGCATTCTGCCCACTGTGATGGGTCTTCTAAACAAATTCACAGCCTTCCACAGTCTATAAATATCAGCCTTTTCCATGCCACCACTGTGGGGATAAGCTGTAATGCAATATTCTGTGTGGGCACTCGGACAAAAGGACAGCACCCCACCAGCACCAGCTTTCTGTCACTGCAGTTTTCTGCAGTATAATTGGATTATAACCATGTGTGAGCCTCTAGCCCCTGTTTCTCTCAGGCTGGGGAAGTCTCTCTCTGATCTGAACAACAGGAATAGGAAGGAAAGAGCAGAATGAGCTGAGCTGGCTCATGGGGAGGGGGCAGTTGAGGGCTCTGGCGATGGGGAAAGAACTTTGGTGGATAATGGGGTTTACAATCACAGTAATTAATCAGGTATATCACCAAAGTGCTGACAATGAGAGGTGACCAAAATGCCTGCTCACCTCCCTGGTGTGGAAGGACCAGCCAGGGAAGAGGAAACTGCCAGGCAAGGTTGGTTTTCACAGCTGTCAGTCACCAGTTTTAGGGCGATGAAGGAAGGAAAGCTGAGAGCCCAGGGCAGCTCAGCCACTAGCTCTCCCTGTCCCACAGCCGCAGGTGACAGAGGCTCACGGAGAAGGGAGTGCAAAGGGCTGTGTCTGAGCTCAGGCACTGTACCCGATGGCGGCTCTCGCTGCGGCCAGCACCATCGCGGGGAGTGTATCGGTGTCCCTGTCCCCAGACCGCTGCCTGCAGGTCCCCGGGCACCTGTGGGCTCCGCGCCGCCTCCGCCCCATGCTGGGGACCCTCGCGGCCGCCCCGCCAGCCCCGGGCAGGGCGATCTCGGTGCGCTGCCCGCTCCTGCCCGCCCCGGGCAGGCGCAGCCGCCGGCGGGCGCGGAGTCCCGCGGGGCCCAGCGGAGCGCGGCTCCCCCGCGGTTTCCCACCCAGCAGTGACACCTGGCGGGGGCAGCGCGGGCGGAGCCGGCCCCGCATCCCGCATCCCGCATCCCGCATCCCGCATCCCGCATCCCGATCCCGCTGAGCCCCTTCCCCGGGCGGGGCCCGACGGGGCGGCCGCGAGCGGCGGCTGCCGGCGCATCCCCGCGGGTGCGGGCGCGGCGGTGGGAGCGGCCCCGGCGCGGGGCGGCGGCGGGGGCAGGAGCCCGGAGGGGGCTGTCCGACGTGCCCTCGGGGAGGCGGGGGTCGGTCCGGCCGGAGCGGCGGCTCCGCGCCTCTGACTCTGCCCAATGAGAGCCCGCAGCACGGCGGGCGCCGGCAATATTTGGCCGCGGCCCCCGCGCTCCCATCCCCAGAGCGCCCTCGCCCTCCGCGCAAGGCCCTCCATGGCCCGGCCCGGCCCCGCCGCCGCCCGCCCCGCGCCGCTCGGGGGGCGCGGGCCCCGCTGAGCGCCCCCAGCCCCGCGGGGAGGGACCCCCGCCCGCCGCCCCCCGCGGCAGCATGAGCCCGGGCGCGGGGGCCCAGCCGGGGCTCGCTCAGCAGCGCGGAGCCGGCGGACGCGCCGCGGGGCCGTGACGGGCAGTGCCCCGAGGGGAGCGCGGGCAGGACCCCCTTCCCCGGTCATTTCTCCGTCTGGACCCCGCCCCGGAGAGATATGCTCAGCCCAAACCGCCTGGAAGCGTCTCCTGGGATTGCCGTGGCCCCCGGGCGTGCGGAGTGCGGAGCCTTCCCTCGGACGGCGGGCGCGGCCCCCCGGCTTTGCCTTCCCCTCGTCCTCCTCCTGCTGGCCCTGACGCCTCGCGCCGACTCCTCGTGGTGGTGAGTGAGTCCCGGCCACGGCGCCGCCGCCCCGACGGTCCCCGGGCACCGCGGGCGGGAGCTGCGCGGGGCGCGGCCGTGGGACGGGGATGGAGATGGAGACGGGGATGGAGATAGGGATGAGAACGAGAATGGCCGGGAACGGGGACAGGGCGGGGACGTGGATGTGGATGGGGATGGGGACGGGGAAGACCGACGAGGGGACGGGGCAGCGCCGGCGGGAGCGCAGCGAGCCCCGCAGCGCCCGACGTGCGGCCGTGGGAGCCGGCGGGACCGGCCGGGCCGTGCGGGCTCCCCCGGCTCCACCTCCGCGGCTCCGGCCGCGTCCCGAGCTCCCGGAGCAGAGCGGGGCGGCGGCCGGAGCGGGGCCGGTACCGAGTCTCTCCCCGCGGCGCCGTCACCGCAGCCGTCACGGGCAGCCCGCGCCCCGAGAATGCCCCGCTCCTTCCCTGGGGATGGGACTTGTCGCGGGGAGCTCCGGGTCTGTCGGGGGGCCGAACGCCGTGCGCTGTGCCGCCTCTGACAGCCTTCCCTCCCGGACACGGCGAGGAGGAGGAGGAGGAGGAGCCCCTCGGTACGGTTTGGGCAGGGGAAGCGCCGGCGGCTCGGATCCCCTGATCCACCCTGGCCCCGCCGGAGCTCCCGTCCCCGCCGGCTGCCGGGCTGCCCCGCAGTTATTTACTCTGCTCCTGGGAAGCGAAGAAAGTTGATGTCCCCCTTCCTTTAGATAAGATGAGGCTTTGTAAGAGACAGAAATGACGCCATAACAAAAACCTTCTGGAAATTAGTCCCCTCCTGCCCCGGTTCGTGAAACAATGAAAATTCATCTATGCAGAATGACAGTAATTAGGAAAACAAGGATCGAGAAGTTTTCCAAGTGACCCTGTGCTGTTTCAGTAGTTCAGCAACACTGGAGAAAAAAAATAGTTGGCTGCAATAAAGTTCTCAGTGTCCCCCACCCTATAAAAGTCCTCTCTAATCTTCTGGAAAACAATGTTTTCCAAGCCAATCTCATCATCATTAACAGATCACGGTGGATGAGGCAAAACTTAATCAAATTCAACTCATCTGCCACTGAAAGAAAACGGTAGTTTCTGGAAATTCTCAGCTACCGTGGAGCACTCTGTAAGGGGCCGGGAGCACTTAATAGTCATGTAGATAGCACAAGTATTGCCGGTGTTTGAGAGCACGTCTGGGCGTGTGGCGGCCCTGGCCGGGCTGGCATCCCTGGGAGAGCGATTCCAGGGTGAGAGGGGCTGGTGGGAAAGCTGTGGGGCTAGCAGGGAGCGGGAGCTCAGGGGACAGGCTGCTCGGGCACCTGGTGGTAACCAAGCACAAAAACAACTTCTTCAAGAGACCAGAAAATGCTCTGGGGGACAAATGGAAAGTGGAAAGAGCAAGGCTGTTCACAGCCATGCCTAGAGGAACTTTCCCGAAACCTGGTCAGCTGAGGGGAACTGGAATCACTGGGAGAGAAAATGAGTCACTGTTGGGGAGTCTCAGGTTGATACAAGCACTGACCTGGCTTCCAGAGCCAGCTCTGCCCCAACCCAGCAGGGCAGGTGAGGGCAGGATTGCTTCTGTGGGCAAGGTGAGGCTGCTAAAATGTGAAAGGCTGAGGAAGGAAGGAAGGGACAGTGGAGAAGTTGGATTATTCCCATTGTCACAGAGGCTGGAGAAAGAGAGGCTCGTTAGAGCTGAGGAGTGGGTTCGTGGGATAACATGGCTGGGAAAAAAGGAGGAGCGGAGCAGTCGCAGCATCGTCTGCCCAGGGATGGGCAGTTCTGGTAACACACGTGGATGCTGCCTGAAGGGTGAAAATTCCCTCTTCAGGAGGGGCATTAAAGCCGCCTATTTCCCGTGCTGTGCCCCGCTGCTCCCAGCGCGGCTCGCCGCGGGCTGCCCTCATTCCAGGCGCGTGTCCCTTCCCAGCAAGCGGGAGCAAACCCAGCCACGTTCAAAGCTCGGTAGCTGTGGCTTGTGTGGAGGACGCTAGATTTAGCTCCCACAGCAGTTTGTGTTCTCAGCTTGCAGGCTGATCCCGGCTGGCAGCTCGAGGGGACAGCAGAGCAGGGCAGCCCAGGGAGCTGTGCCGGGAGCTGGGCAGCCCCAGGGCCCCAGTGCAGCCAGGCTCCTCCACGCCTTTGGGCATTGTTACCGAGCAGTGCTGGTCCCAAGCGCCTCAAATACGTGACTTTTGAAACAAAAACGACTAGAAATGGAATATATAAAACTCTTAAAGGTTCACACTTTCAATTGAGCTTTCTCTTCTGGAAAGCAGAGCATTCCTAAGAAAAGCCTAAATTGAACCGAGCGCTGTTGTGCTGGACGTGTCAGTCCTGATAAAATAGCGTGTTTAGATGAAATTGTGTTTTACTGAAAATGGTTTCAGCCAGCTGTGGTTTGGGAAAAAACTTATTCAGTGATTTGCATAGCTTTCCAAGCACATCTTTAGCACCACTGATATTACAGTAAATGCATTTGGTGGTGCATCATCCTTCCTTATTTTAATTATTATTGCCAAATTCTTCTAGGGATTCACACACAATAAACTTGGGGAACTAGAGGAAATGTTTCTCATTTTCAGAGTCAACTTTTTAAGTAGTTTTATAGGAAAAATTGGGTCTCCTCTGATCACAGTACATGGAAAGGAAATATCAACCAAATGTTTCTTCTAAACAACTGCAAATTATTAATTTTCAGTGACGTCAGGCATGGCCCAACCACTGCACACAAACACCAGGAATTGGTGAACTTTGGCATCCAAAAGAGTGGCTGTGTGTGTGTGTGCACGTGCTCAGAGCACAGCAGAGGGGACAGGTTGGGGACAGTGTGGTTTTGGCCTGTGTGGTTGTGGCCGGGCTCTGTGACTCACGGTGACAGTGAGGTGACTGTGGCTGTGGCGAGCAGCACCCTTGCACAAATGCTTCCAAACTCCAAAGTGTTACTTAGCAACAAAATACCAGCTGAAACACAGACAGAAATTAGGAAGGAATGCAACGGGAAAATCCCTAAATCCCGTTTACACTTGCATGCACTGGCAGGGAGAGCAGCATCGTCTGGGGGATGGCGCTGGCTGGGCTGTGCCCTGCGCCGCCAGAGCCCGCCAGGCCCCGAAAGCGGCCCCCCAAATTCCTTGGGAGAGATTTGGGAGATTAGACAAATGTTGCTTATAAACATAAACTGTGCAATAAACAAACTTGTTGTAAATAACTAAGTAGAGTTTACTCGTTATTGAGAGCCCGACGAGCCATTCTGGTGTGGAAAGCCATTCTAAAATTAAAGGTTTGGTTAAAGAAAAATGTACACAAAGCCCTGCATACCCCTCTGCATCCCACCCTCACACACACCCACTCTCCTGCAACCCACACAGACCCCCCCAGCTCCCCCAGCACACCAAATCCTTGTTAGCTAACTTGTTTATTGCTAACCACAGCCCTTGGAAACTACAAATATTTAATTTCATTTGGCATTGGAACAGATGGGAGGCATCAGGCTCCCAAAGAGATAAAACAAATCTGTGGAAGGAAGAGGATTGCAAGTTTGGGTGTGGGTTGGAGAGCGTGTGGGAACCTGGCAACCACATGGGACTACCCATGGTGCTGTCAGGATATGGGGGCTCCAAGAGAGCTGCTGCGCCCCGGGGTGTGATGCACATATGGGGATTTTGAGGGATGACCAGTCCGGAGCCAGGCAGCCCTCATGGTCCAGCTCCCTTCCTTGGCCAGGGAAGGAGGAGTGTGTTTATGGGCATGGAAAACACACCACGGGCAGATCGTGAAGCAGGAGTGCCCGTGGCTCCCTCTGTGCCAGAGCAAGCCCTGGACGTGGCTCTGGCCAAGTGTTTGGCAAGGAGATCCCCCAGTGCAGATGGGGAAGGAGACATTCCCACCAGGATGGGCTGCTGGCTGTGCTCCCACTGGTGCTCTCCTCCAGGATTTGCCTGCATTCCCTCTGAGACACCAGTGCTCCAGCTGCACGATGGGCACAAGGAGTGATGGAAAAACGGAGCCACACATATGTGTGGGTACAGGATACAGGAGAGAGAGGCTCATTCAAGCAGGCATCATACTAAGGTGTGTGGGAGGGGAAATAGCATCAACAGGAATGTTTGAAACCAAGCCAAGGGAAAGACAGCTGCATGGATGGAGGAGCTGCACAGCCCGCGTGTGACCCTCTGGGGCTGCTGCTCCTCCCCTCCGTGCCAGCCTCAGCTGGGCAGACCCACAGCAGCCCGGGGGCTTTGCTCACACAGGGTCTGGCAGGCTCTGTGGGGGCTCCAAGGGCTGTAGCTGTGATCCCCTCCTGTGCCCTGCAGGAGCCTCTGCCACCAGCGCCGAGCAGCTCATCGCCCTTTCAGCCTCGGCACTGCTGCAGGCACGATACAGAACCACAGAATCACAGAATGGTTGGAAGGGACCCTAAAGCATCCAATTCCAGCCCCTTTGCCACGGGCAGGGACAGGGACAAAGCTCCAGGAGCTGAACTTGCCACCTCCAAGGGGAGAGGACGTGCAGCCCTCGGGACACGGAGATCTGCGGTGCTGCCGGTTCGCTGTTGCAGAGCTCTCTGCATGGCAATAAAAGCAGGAGGTCAGTGACCAGGAAGTCTTTATCCTGAGGCGCTCCACAGCTCCGGCTGTCCAGACAGCCACGCTGTGAAAAATAAGTTTTAAAGTAATGTCAGGCTGATGGAGAATGAACCCCATGGCCTTTGCAGCAGCCCTGGCGTTCTTGGTTAGGGTGGGTGGAACAGATGGGTTCTCTCAGTCACTCTGAACAGTTATAATAATCCTAACTGTGCTGCTCAGTCCATTTTTCATTAGGGTCACTTTCACCTATGGGAAATCGTTCTCAGAAAGAAATGCAGAAAGAAAAAAATCCTTCTGCTCTTCCAAACTCATTAGCTTTTGCTATTACCAAAAGTGATTTCAGCAGTGCCATGAGGAGATCTGTGCTGGGCCAGAGCCTATGGAATCACAGCTTCTTCTTGGAGCAGCT